CTCTGATGTCTAAGGGTAGCTCATACTGCCATAACGTGGCACTGTAGGTCACATGATGCATTCAGCGATAGATCCAACCCTCCCAAGTTACATAGGAACATTTCTGAAAAGGGCTGACCTCACTGAGCATTGATACGCACCAAGTACTGGAATAGCACTTGGTGTGTAATAACCTCGAAAAAAGTACTCAGGTGAAAAGTTATCCAGTGTTGCTTTAGAAAAAGTACTTCAAATCTCTTTGGAGAAGAAGTTGAGTACCAAAACTGCATTTTAATCTCTATTTTAATCTTAAGTTGGTTTTTACACATCTTGATTTACATTGACAATAAGAAATCCAATGTCTGCTTTCTGCATTCCAGGTGTTACATGAGAGGATAGAAGCAAAGAAAACCCAGATCACGATGCTGCCATAGCATACTATGATGAGTCCCAATTTTGCAGATATTGGTATTACACAGTGAGCTAGTTTATCATTAAGTACACATCTAAGAACAAAAACTGATTAACTGATGTTACGCTGAGCTATAGAAGCCCAAGAAGGCGGCACCATGCAATACTTTGAATTTATATAACACGTCAATACAGACTGTACTTTTACAGCACACAGTTGGCATCCAGGTTTAATTTTCCACTGGCTTTTATGCACATATGTACCTTTGATTTTAATTGCATCAACAACTAAATAGAATTGGAGTAAAGGAGCTTGAAGATGGAGAGATCTGGGTTCTCCTTTATGAACATGCAAAAACACATTTCACACTAAAGCTGTGATTTCTAAGAAAGAAAAAGAATGAAATGTGCTGTACCTCATGCAAACATTTTGCAGAGAGAAGGAGCTGCCGATAAAGATAGTGATCAACTTTATAGGATCTGAAACTCCAGCATATAGTTACAGTGGTGAGCAGCTACTTCACATAATGAGCTGTCACATAAAGTATAGAAACAAAGTTTTCTGAGCCATCTTTTTTTTTCATTCTAAATCAAATTTTGTCAAATATTTAAATGTTACCTCACCATTGGCTTCCTCTACCTATTTAAAACGATTTATGTAAACCAGAGAATAATCTACAAATTGTGACAAGCTGTGCAACAACCACACCAATAACTGTAAATATTTAAGGACTCTCATGACAACCATGCACAATGCTGCATATGGACATACAGGCGTTGCTGAGAGACCTTGTTAATGGGAGAATAGGGAGAGAACTTGATTGCCAGGTTTATGATGACGACTAGTTAATGGCTATATGCCAAAGTCCTCTTAATGCAGATCAAACAGATCTGGTCTAATCTAAACAAGTGTATTCTTTGCCCAATTTGATAGTACAGTGTGTTACTTATCCATATATATATATATATATATATATATATATATATATATATATATATATATATATATATATATATATATTACAGTTAGTCCGTAACTGTCTTTTACCTGTGTGAATCTCCCCAAACGTGTTAAAGATAATCAACAACGAATTAACTTATATGCTGGAGTTTCAGATCCTATAAAGTTGATCATTATCTTTATCGACAGCTTCCTCTCTCTGCAAAATGTTTGCATGAGGTACAGCACATTTCAATCTTTTTCTTTCTTAGAAATCAAAGCTTTAGTGTGAAATGTGCTTGAAAACATGAAATGGTCCAAAGGACTGCGATATAGCAGCCATTGTTAATTTACATTACTGACTGCCATCTTGAATGACATTGTTCATATGATCACCCCATACAACAGACTATGAGTTGTACCCATTCATAATTTTTTTTTTTTTTTTTTTTTTTTTTTTTTTTTTTTTTTTTTTTTTTTTTTATGTCATCTCCAACGTATTCATCAACACATCTTTTTCTCTTATGGCTAAACTTTATTTTTGCATTATTTTCTCCTCAATAATTTGCATTAATGCCTATGGATTGCCTTATTTATGGTTAAATGTGGGCATTGCTGTGGCTGGCTGTGCCCCACCCTGAATTAAGGAGTAGGACAGCGATAGATCAGCGACAAATATTGAATAATATAAGTCATTTTAGGGGCTAAATTAGAGTAGCTATTTTAAAAGCCAGCCACAAACCTCTAAAAGAACAATCTTTTCTTCATTTTATGTCAATTTTTTAAAATCTTTTTTTAATCTTTATCTTTTTAAAGTTTTAATGGAGAAAAAAAGGCTTAGTATCTAGTGCATTTCTTCACCCTGAGATGCAGCCACATCATCCAGTCCCTGATTCATTATCATGATGTGATAAAGCATAAAAGTTTATTATGGAACTTTAAAAATATTTCTTCATAAACGATTGAAGCTTGTTCATAGGGATAACATGTAAATTCATTGCTCTGGTTTGTGGAAAACACATTTTTGGGTAAATGCAACATCAAGCTTAATGGTTTTTAAGCTTTTGTTGCAACTAGTTAGGTGTATTTTATGTCACAACGAATATTGTCCCACTTTTCTTTTCAGAACAGTTTCTATAGAGAATGAAAAGGAAATCTAAGAGCACACAGTCTCCTGTAGTGCTCCTTTTCCTCTAACACAAAACTTTTAATGGCTTTCTTAAAGCATGCTATTTTAGCAGCCTTAAAAGACTACTACCCCTTGCTGTCTTTAATCTTGACTTAAAGCGTTCCTTGTCTGTCTCAATATGTTTGGTCTCCATCTATGAGGGGTCTTTATAAGGCTATTTTTTTTCTTTCAAAGTTTTTCCTTTGTATACTTTTGTAATTTTAATACATTATAAATTTCCATAAAAGTTAATAAGTTATAAGAGAAAAAATATTTCTGCAACAAGCATAATGAGATCATTGACCAAAACTCTGTTATGTAAAGCCGGAATTGTTAATGGATTTTAATTTTAAAGCACTGAAAGAGTTCAGACATGAGGTATAAATACTTTATATAATCTACATCGTTTTTTTTTTTTTTTTATTTAAAGAAAATTAAAAGGGAGGCAGGGAATTGTGAAGTCTTGTCTTTTTCTTTCTTTTTACACCAGTATGGCTGATTTTTCCATTTCTAAGGTGTTAATTGTGTTTATCAGAGAGACAGCCAGGGGAAGAAACTGTCTCACTGGTTGCTGATTTTTTACAAAACATACTCTACAGATCTGACCTGAAGGTAAAGTCCTTAGACTTTCACGGGATCTACAATGTTGGATGCTTTTTCCTTATCCTAGACCTGTACAAGACCTACCTGAAGGAAGGTCAGCCTACTTGTCAGGGGACCTAATTGATTTTTTTCACTTTAGATTTGTTAAAATTATTTGAAAAAGGATTTCTGGTTTTAATATGTTTTTTTTTTATAATCTCTTTTAAGAACATTTCCACTAACGTTGCCCAATGGTGTTTTGTTAGATGGCTGTTAAATTACATGTACATTCCTGCATTGTTACAATTTCCTTATGAATAACAGCTGATCATCAAATACTGACTTTGACTTAGCTCTCATATGCCTGTTGCAACTTTTGTTTAGTTGTAAACAGAAGCTTTAAAAGGAAGACACAGCAACCCTGACAAGACTGAGCTGATTAGTTCAAAACTTAAAGCTGGCCTTGTCCCAAGCATGAACCACTGCAATCCTTTCAAAGTTTATCCCTGTCATTTCTGTTAGCAAGCGTGACTAACTTCAACTTTAACTCGCAACAGTTCTGGAACAAAAAAGAACTGTGCAATGTGAGGGGAAAATTAAAAGAGTAGAAAGATTATGAACTGGATGATTGCATGCAGAGCTCAACATGCTTTCCCAAGCAACGGATACCCAGCTCGTTTCCAGCAGGGGGTCGGATAAAAAAATACTCTTTACAAAACACAAGCCACAAGACGCAGCTTTCTGATCCCGATCGGGGCAGGCATGATGCGAAAGGATATATGTGAGTTATTTTCCAGAGCTGTAGCTAACAAGCCAAGACTGTCTTGTTGGCTCATCAGGAAACAAAGCCTGGAGCGTTTTCATTCACGCTGAATGGGAAGTAGAATCCAAGGGCATAATTAAAATCTACTCTGCATAATATTACAGCATAGGACAATCTTTTTTTCTGCCTTGCAACCATTAGCTGTAAAAACTGGAGAAATAAAGAGCTGAAGAAGCTTTTAATAAAAACCAACCAAACAAATCTCATCTATTTCATAGGAAAATGCCAAGAAAGTCTCTGACCGTTACATTTAACTTCTTATTAATTTCATCAATAATAAATAAATAATAAATTAGTGTAATTGGTGTAAAATAATTCAGTCAAGTTTAGGTGCTATTGTAATTCTAAAGTAAAAAGAAAAGGTATTAAAACATCGATTTGAAATTTATCAGTGTACAAAAATGTTTATTAAATCTCAGTTTAAAAGAAGTTGTATTAAGTTGCAGTACTTCAAATTAACTTCGATCAGTTCAAGCATTTGAAACTGTGAACTAGATGACCAGAGGTAGTTTGCACTAATTTAGCAACAGAAAATAAATGCATACTTAGCATAACTAGCAGCTAAGGATTGGCAAGAAGCTGTTTTCTTACTTTGCTTACATCAATAACAATTTTTACTTACATAGTGCCCACATTTTTTACACACAAAGATAATAAAAAAAGGCAAAAATAATAAAAGGTTTAAAAAATATAAGAAAATGTTTTAGACTGTAATGAAGCAAAATGTGAAAGAAAAAAAAAAGGAAGGATTTTTTTCTGGCGGTGGTGCTTGTAATATTTCTGTCTTGGAATACAGAGTCTCTTATAATCTAGGAAACTGTTGATTTAGGGAAAATATGAAGAGCCTTTAACATATTGGGAAATGATCCGCCTCGCAGTATCAGGATTTCTGATCGTGTCTTAGTCTGCTACAGGTTTTATGACTATTTTATTTTCCATTAGTTTATCTTTATTGCCATTCAGAGATGAACAAATGCAAAGGAGGAGTGCTTCAGACACCTGTGTGCAATATGTTGATATTTGAACTGTCAGCAGATCTGGCACTGTTAATGGAGAATCGCTGCCGACTAAAAAAATATGAGGTTTCTCAGACTCACCGGTATGTGGGAGGTGGGGTACCCTGGGCCTCGCAGCTGAATACCACCTCCCTGTTGTTCCCCACGGTCTCCACAGGATACACAATGCTGCCTGGCTGTTTGGTGAAAGCGGGACTCTGCAGGACGCTGCGCTCTGTGGGACCACAAGCAAACACAACATGGTTGAACATAAACCTTTGCAGCAGCCTGTTTGCAAAACAGCCAATTAGTCAGTGGCAGAGACCAGTTGATGCAGCTTCAAGCCTCTCAGAGGGGAAAACCACAAGTAGACAAAACATATCAATTTAAAGTGCCTGTCATGACTTCAAGGCGCAGAGGGAAAGCATTTAAAGTGAGACATGTCTTCAGGACCTATTTAGGTGGTAATAGGATACAGAGACTAATTTGGGATGAACGCTGACTTAAAAAGCTGCCGATAGCATGTTTTTATGTCTTCTTTTATCATTTCTTTATTGGAGCAGATGCTAGGATTATGTGCCCATACAATTTACATCAAATAAGTACATCTAATTAGTCTCTTTGTTGTAAAATAATGATACATAATACAAAGGTATATTTAAAAAAAAGATGCTTCTACTGATAATAGAATCAATAATCCAAATTGCAAGACTATCTCAGACCAAAGGTTTATTTTCATAAAATCTGGGTAACTTACATTAAGCATAGATGTATCTAAGAAAAATTTAAAGCAAGAAAAATACAGCTTAACTTATATCAAAAAAGTGCAACTAGGGTGAAATGATAAAATGTGAGTTAGAGTTAGGTGTTGTTTACAGAAAATTAGATCTATCACTACAGGCCTTTCAATACAGGAAGCCATGTGTACCCAAAGAGTGCATGTTTTAAACCCCTTACTGATTCAAGTTATTTAATACGATATTTTGAAAAAAAAAATTTGTTCATTTGAATATGACACAAAAGATATAAATACTTTCTGGTTATTTAATATGCAAATTAGCATCATACAGCACCACACTGAGTTCTAGATAACAGCAAACAGCCCCCAAAACAATCTTTGATGTCTGGATTAAGCATCAAGTTGGATAAACTGGCCAACCCGGATGTTTTCACACTGAACAGGTTTTTAGGAATGGTTTAGGGCTGAAACAATTAATTGGATTAATCGTGATAAATCCATGATTTAAAAAATCATTAACTAATTTAGTAATTGAATAATAGTTAACTAGGGACTAGAGAACCTAAAATGTGCCTTTAGCTGACAGAGCAACCCACCTTGGGCAGCAATTATACCAAAACTGTAAAAAAAAAAAAAAAATATGTAAACATTTTGCATTTAAGATAAAATCTTATTTGTCTGTTAATACTACATCTCTAAAGCTGGCCTGGTGTCGCCTCGGGGTCCCCCAAGAGCAGCTGGAGGAGGTGTATGTGGATCGGGAAGTCTGGCCATCTCTGCTTGCTGTCTCTGCGACACGACCCCGGATAAAGCGGAAGAAAATTTATGGATAGATGGATTAATTGACTTGCAAAATAATCATTAGTTGCAGCCCTAGTATGGTTGAGACAATAGGTTTTACAAGGGATTAAACCTGTACCCATGCATGGAGGTGGTTATTCTGCTGCAATGGTCTCATGGGGAACTTTAGATGAACCTTGACTATTGTTAGAATCTACGGCTGGAGAACTTTATGACTTGACCTTAAGCTACTGTGATTATGGAGGAGAAAAACAGTAAATATGCAGCAGCAATGTAGTATGTAGGATCCTTATCTGAGACATTTTTTATAGCATTACAACCTTTCATTAGTCTACACTTAAAATGGGGGACTTTAGTCCAAGCTTGACAGACAAGGAGTTACAAGTACCTTTTCTAATAAAAAGTTGACTTGCAGACTTGGATTCAAAATTAGGACCGAAATTTATATGTCAAAGACCACCTTAATGCAGAATGGAAGAATATTGTAGATAAAAAAAAAATATATATATATGATACTGTTCAATAATACACAAAAAACGTTCAGTTTAAAGATATAATATGTAAGCTAAAACTGTCACTATGTCCTGACAGTAACATATTTGATATATAATCTGTGAAAAAAACAAGCTTTTCTCCTTCCTCCCAGGGGTTTTCCTGACTTTTGCAGAAACACACCGCTCCTGGTCAGAAACAACTGATCAGAGCCAGAGGGAATGCCTTAACTATGTCAATCATTCTCCTGTATATGCTGTTCAAACCATATCCCCGTCAGTGTGTACTGTCGTTCAAGTTAAAGACCGCCAGTGGGCTGCAGCTGTGCAGCTGTACGTCAATGTAAAGTATATCACTAATATTTATTCCCTACCAGTGAATGTGCCGTAGCTGTTTATCCCTTTTAAACAGTAGTGGCTAAAGTTAATGGCTTTGTGAGCATCTAGAGACAAATCTAGTGACTTTTTTTCTGTGTTGTTAGAGACTTTGACAACAACTTGTAAAAGTACCCATTGTTCTTAGTTTACTGTTTTCAGCGAGTGTTGATGCGGGCCCTCCCTCCAAAGGAGCACTGAAGTCAGTTTCAGCCGAAAAACTGTGTCTGGGGTCAGAGAATGAACAGCATTTTCAATGTGTGCACGCTGAAAATGAGTCACATATGAACAAAGCTTTGCTGATCCCCCCAGATAGAAAAAGAAAAAGAAAAAAAAAAGAAACGTATTTATTTAATTTTTCAACGTATATTATTTTGTTTGTTTTTTTTTCTTTAAGACTATTGCTGTAAAGTAGATCACTCCATACATTTAATTCATTCAGTCTTATCCACTGCGTATGCCTTTGCTATCTGTCTTTACATTGAATTTGACAACATAACATGTCTTTATGTAGTTTAGGTTTAGGAAAAATATTATCAAGTACTTGAAAATATTCAATTAAGCGAATTAAATAAAAACAAAGACATGCCTTGAAGACCTGCAAATAGTAATTACAGAAAATGTTATGAAATTACCTATCTGCCTATGCAGGCTTTATATAATCAAGTGTAATCTACAGTTGCACTTAGCCTTTTGAGGCTTTTGCCTTTACCTTGACAAATGGTTTATTTTCAGAGAGTTCTATTTGGTAAACAACTCAATGTTTCAATTTTTTCCACCCGTTGGAATAAGGTGAAATAAGATGTCTCCTTGTTTCCTTTCATAAAATCCCACATAAAATAAACAATCCGATTTAAAACCCTGGTGCTCACCAAGGTGTAATTTTAACATAACACATCTAATACACATTTCATTACACATCTAGTAATAGTACTTTAAATTCATATCTAAAAAAAGAAAAACAACAGAGGACACCACTCCAAGAGATTGCTAACTAAGGGAACAGTCAGGGAATCACATTTTGTTCCGACTACTAAACTACATCTGTCGCTGCTGCTAAACATCTTTCTTTGTATTAATGTAAGCTGTAGTAGGATAATAAAATTAGCTTTTCAAGTGTCTGACAGTTAAAGGAACGGACAGTGTGGTCTGAGTTTCATTATGTAAATTGAATTAGCTAATGGTGGTCTCAGCTAATATCTCAGACATGTGGTAAAACCCAATTAATGAATGAAAACGAATGTCTGCATCTCTGCATTTGTCTGACCTAACTTGACCACAACCTAAGGGTTTGCTATTTCTAAGATGAAATGTGTGTGTTGCTGTTGGGTGTGTGTGTGGGTTTGCATGGATGGTTGTTTATTTGAGGCCATCCTGCAAACAGAGTGAAAAACAGCAGTTGGTGCTACCAAAACTTCCCAGGGGAATGGAACTGGGGTATGCTACACTGTTTCCTAAATGTCATTTAATGATGTCATATCCTATTTAGCATATTTATGACATCTGCACTTTAAATTTGTATTTTATGTGCTATTGTATGATTGCTGTTTGAACAGTAGTCCTCTGTAATGCACTAAAGATCATAGTACAGCCATAACACAGGCATACAGTTGAAAGTAAATATGTAAATTCACAGTATAGACGGATCAGTAACCTTTTCTATAAATTTCACTGTTTGAGAATAAATCTAAGAACACTTTGTCTGTTCAAAGTCAATGAAGATTTTAAAAAGCCTTTCTTTGTGCAAAATACCAGAATAATCAGAAAAAAGAGAATATATATATATATATATATATATATATATATATATATATATACTTATATGTACTTATATATATACAGTATGTAGAAGCTTTTGTTCAGCTCAACTCTCAGACCAAAAAACAGTTACAGCTCCTACTGGGAAAAAATGCTGCAGCTAAAAATTCTTTACTTCTACTTTTTTACTTCTAATCTTCTATTAAGTAAATTAAGAATTTTTTATTTATTTTTTGCAATTGCAGTGTTTAGTTTTTCATTTTTTGATTTGTCAATGCCAAATGTCACATACAATGTCAAAGCAAGGTGTCACTGATTTGAGATTCATTTTAACCCAGAACAAAATGCAGAAAAATATAGCGCATCCTAAACAAATAACGCAACTCCCCTAAATATAAGTCATATTTATTACCTACAACAATCCACTTGAAAAAAGCAGGGAATTAGTGTATTTAACACATTATCCTTCATAGTCCGTAGTCCACAGTGTGTGCTAAAAGCATATGATTGAAAAACCTCTAAGCTGCTATTCAAGTCATCCTACAACAAATTAAACAGAATAGACTAAGTGGCATGAAAAATCACTGCTTCATAAAACTATTGTGTTTTTTTAATACTGAAGATTTTTTGGGGGAAACAAGATGAAGTAAAGAAAGTATGTCACTGAACAATGATGTAGGAGGAAAAAGCATTTCTGCTATGAAGAAGAGTAGACTGACTTTAGTACACTTGTTTCATATTAAATCTAATTAAACTCCTTATTTTTAACTCTTTACAGCCCACCTTAAAGAAATATCTCATTGGGCAGACAGTGTGCTGCCATGGAGAGAAAAAGTAAAGAAAATGAATATGAATCTGCTTCCTATAGAGTATCAGTACTTTTTCAGTCACAACTGATTACACAGAACAAGTAAAAAACAGTGCATGACACGCAGGTGGAAAGCAGAACATGGTTTAGGATTTAATAATAGTAATATATGTCCCCACATGCTGCTAGGATGAGGTCATCAGTATGCTGCAGTGATAGCGCTGTACATCCCTGATTGTGGTGATTTGTGACCTGATGTGTGA